ATTAAAAAAAAAAAAAATTCTGTGAAGGCTTATCAGAACTGTACCGGCTGACCAACATTTTATCAGGACTATGGTCTTTCTAATAATTAATTGTTCCCCTTTTCTATTTAAAAAGTATTCTGAAAAAGGATAAGGGGCCGTGCTTCAGTAGCAGCAGCAACGTGCACTCCGCCCATCTTTCGTACGACTGTATGAGCATAATATCTCGTTACAATGATAATAAAGCTGATTCTGATTATTCAGTCTTTAACAAATATATTCTTCTTTTGTGAAGCTTAAGCATAGTTTTTTTTTTAAACTGATGAATTATGTACATCTTGTTGTAACATAGCAAACTTTCCCCCTTTTCTGTCACTGGTGTGAATTTGTTTATATGTGACTGAATGATTAAAGTTGCCTAAAATTGATCAAATATTTTATTTATTTAACTTAATCTCCATCCAGTGCAACTTAACTTTCACATTTAGCACTGTAGCACGTTAAACAAACTCTGTGCTCTCCATTCTGAATATCAGTTTCAAAGTTTTGCACATAAAGAAACAAAACTAATTAATTTAATTTATTTTTTGTTGCAGTATGCTATTAAATATATGCAAAGTGCAGCAAGCAATAACAGCATACATTCCTTCTTCCAACACATTAAAATTATTGTGTGGATTTCATTTCAGTAAATCAAGCCTCCCTTACATTTGAGAGTAAATCCAGCTAACACAAGTGCGTGCGACAGATACATGGACAGGAGTTTTTATGAGTGGAAATTATACCTTTTTTTTTTTTTTTTAACATTTGTCTATTGAAGCATGTTTTGGACTATGTACCAGCTGCAAAAAAACAAAGTGCCCAATAAAAACTCAAAACACAAGGTTTAGTTTTATCATTTCTAACTGAAAAGTTTCTTATTTAAATGTCAAATTAAAGTCAGATGTGTTGAAGTGATTTCAACTTATGTCAATTTCATGATGGGTTAAATTTAGAAAAAATAAAGTTCAACACAGCTGCTGTGGTTTAATGTTTAAATCTGCCTTCTGTTATTAAAACAATCTGGTCTTAGGGGGAGAAACTATCATCTAAATACTCCGTCAAAATTTAAAAAAGAACAAAAAACAATCTGGTATTCATCAGAAAACCCGAGGCAAAGACATGTCTACTTCATAAATGAATTCCAGTCAAAGATTTATTGAATTATTATAAATGCTAAACTATAAAATTATGATGCAGCAACGTCTTGATGATATCAGTGCAAACCTATTTTTCTTCTCTGCATCCTGCAGAAACCTCCAGGATCTGTTAGTTCATTTAAAGCTGCAGGCAAACACCCATTTAAAACCCACCCTTCCTGATTCTGGATCCTCTGCTGCCCGTGTGCTACACATTCCAGTCTGATTGGCTTAGCTGCTGGCCTCCAGCCCAAAGGGCGTCTGTATAAAACTCCCCATGAGCTGAAAGCCCGAGTCAGAGAGTAAAAGGAACTCACAGAGACACGCAGAAGCCCAACAGGAAAACACAGTTGCACGCTAACGCACTACTTCTGACGCCGCTGGAAAATGTGTAAAGGATTAGCTGCTTTGCCTCAAACCTGCCTTGAACGGTAAGACCCGAATCATTACCCCAACAGGTTTTTGGCTCCCCAGTGGAGCAACACAAGGTCCCATCTGGGCTCAAGTCTGGAAGTTTTTGTATTGGATTGTAGTTTCCTGATGTTATTCAGTTCCAAATGACTTTTGACATTCAGATTGTTTTACATGCTTTTCAGAAGTTGCATTCAGAGTTAATTATCTGAACTCAAACCAATGATTTTATCAAGACGCATACACGTCTGACGTAACTACAAATAGTACCATTCCAACATTAATCAGAACTGTCAGCTTTCTTGCTTGTACTGCCACTTTTCTAAGATAAACATTTTAAATATCCAGGTTTTCTCTGTTTTGAATGATGAATCAATTGTGTGGTGTACTGGCACAGTGGAACGGAGATTAAAACAAAAACAAAAAGTTTAAGAATTCATCATAAATGATCTGCTTTGGCTTTGTTTACCGTAGGGCTAAAGAGATCAAGACAAAGTTGGGAGTTTTACTGCAGAAGCCGGACAATGCCGTCGACCTCATCATCCCGTACCCGGAGAAGGTTGAGAAGAAGCCGGAGAAGCTGCAGAAGTGAGTGTGCGTTCAGGGCAGATGAGTGTGTGTGTGTGAGGTGGGCAGTGTTTGCCTGAACCGTAACCAGATAAATCACGGATACGATGGAGAACAGAGCCCAGAGCTGGCGCAGGATCTGCTGATCAGAGGAGATTAAACCACTCCAGACACGGAGAGGGCTCAGATGTCACCGTGAGATGGTGCACAGCAGCCACCTGCAGAAGAATTAGCATGAAGATGCTCTCAAGAGATAAAAAAACAAAACAAAATAATTCAATTATCTTGCCCATAATTTAACACACTTCGGTGTTGTGAAAGAAAGTGGAAGGTGCATTTATTTATTTTTCTTATCTTACTGATAAAACAGTTTTATGGAAAATGCAAGTATTTTCCATTTGACTAAAACCTGCTGGAGGGCAGATTTGATGGAAGACGAGACTCGAATCAACATTTTATTTTGGCTCAGGTTTTATTTTTTCCACAACTCGTTTGAACTTTTTAATTTAGGTTAGCTCCGCAGGGCCCCAGCTGGTGCGCACCCATTAATCTCTGATTTGATTTCAGCATCTTGTAAAGATATGTTTTCACTCTCCTTGTGTCTTTTGCTACAGCTGCTTTTGTACAGCCAGTCCAGATTTAGCAGGTCGCCCCGATGGTTGGTTGCTTCTCTTGTTGGCCCATTTCTGATCTCTCCAACAGACTGTCGGGCGTGAAACGTGCGAGACGAGTTTGGAAGTTTTATCTCAGAGGTGACAGAAAGGCCACATCAAGAATCAAGCTTTAACTTAAGTATTGAACTTACGTTAAGTACTTGTTCAGAGATTAAACGTAGCGTTGACATGCCTCTCCTAATTGAAATAATGTGAACCAGACGCAATCTGTTCTCAGGGAATGTTTCCCAGACTTCAGTCCGTTGGAAAAAAAAGCTTAGATTACACGGAGATTCATTTATGAAAAATGTACGGTACATGGAGACTGATGGATGCCTTTTCCATTTTATTGTTTTCAGTCAATAATTTATGATCAGGTCATGTATGTCCTGTTTGTTCTAGAACGGTAAACGAGTAAACTACAGTTTGAAGGAAACTTTTTTCTTAAAAATAGAAGTAAAAAAAAAAACTCGTTGCACTTAATTTCCATTTTTTTACGTGTTGAGACAAACGTTCTAGTCAAACGGTAAGCTGTGGCGTCAACACCAAAATGAAGGCTAGTCTCTGAAGCTGATTGTAATTAAATCTTCCTCCACACGTGGATTATAAACAGGGGTTCCCAAACTTTTCCACGCCATGGCCCCCAAACAGCATTAGCTTCTGGCCGAAGCCCCCCTCGCAAATCCACCTACAATGCTACAAAATATGTAAAGAAACATCAACTTTTAGAATGTTTTAACTTTTATCACTATATTAAATTAATTGTTACAGCTGCTGAGCATAAATGTTATTAACTAACTTATTTTAAACACTGTGTTATTTTCCCACTCAAGTGGAGCTGAAGTTTCAAAGGTTTTGCGAAGGTCTCCAGACAGAGGATACGTTTCGGGCGATCATGGCCATTTTTCTGTTTGACTGTAAAGCCATACTAAATGTTTGCGTCATCCGTACCTTCAAATTTTAGCTGGCCATAAGTTGTTTGTTTGTTTGTTTGTTTGTTTGCAGTAGCTTCCACCACAGCAGGGCTACTGGTTGGTTCCTTCAGTCTTTTTATAAACTTCGTCATTTTGTTCTTGCTAGCTTGATACATTTGACTGGCAGCCAATAAGAGACATGAGCATGGTGAAAAATATTTCAATATATTATTATAAAATATATTTTAAAATAATTATTGAAAAATAAATTTGATTTTATTACAGTAATTAAAAAAAAAGAAATATATATATTTTAATTTTTAACCTTTTTTTGTTTAATCTTCTCTCCAGCTTTCTGAGTCCTCCCTATCGCCCCCTGGTGGCCCCCCCAGGGGGCTGCGCCCCCCTCTTTGAAAAACTGCATTATAAAACACTCATTGAAGTGTTTTCTCTTTCAGGAACATTCAGTAGCCTCCATAAACACCACATGAATTCATCTGTTTTCTTATTTTTGAGTTGTTGTTTTTTTTTTTTTCCTCGAGCGTGAAAGCAGTTCATCTGTTTTCTTACCACATGCACCCATCTCAAAAATTTAGAATATGATGGAAGTTTTTTTTTATTTTTTTTTTAATCATTTCAGAAAGTGAAACTCATAAATTACAAAGATTCATTACACATGGAGAGAAATATTTCACGTCCTTATTTCTTGTAATGTTGATTATTATTCACTCAACCTTTATTTATACAGGTTTGTCCCATTGAACCTCGGGGACTCATTTACAAGAGACACCTGAAATACGATCAATACGTCATACGAATCGTTTTAGAGCCCGACTCAGTTTCCAAGTCACGTTTGTGTTTTCATCTTTGATTTAAAAAAAAAAAAAAATTATTTTAAAAACTTTCAAACATCAACTGAAGACAAAAAGTGAGCAGCCGACCTGAATCCTGATGAACTTTTTTAAAACCAAATAGATTTTGTCATAGTTTTGGGCACCGCAGGTCGTCCTCAACGTCCACCTAGAGAAACAAAATGCATAGTCTCAGAACATTAGAATATTCCACAGCCAGCTTCTGGTTTGTGTGGGCAGGAGCCGAGTCCTGCTGGAAAATGAAACCAGCGTCTCCATAAAGCTCGTCAGCAGAAGGAAGCATGAAGTCTCTAAAATGTCCTGGTAGATGCTGCGTGGACTGAGGACTTCAGAAAACTCAGTGGACCAGCACCAGCAGAGGACCTGGACACCAAACCATCACTGATGTGGAAACGTCCTCCTGGACTTCAGGAACGTAGATTCCGGACCTCTCCACTCTTCCTCCAGACTCTGGGACGTTAATTTGCAAATAACATGAAAATTTACTTTCATCTAAAAAAATCCAGTTTGTCTCAGCCAGGTAAGACGCTTCTTACACCTCTGGTTCAGGAGTGGCTCGGTTTGAAGAATGACATGTGTAGCTCATGTTTAGGAGTTAATCAGCTGATCAGGGTGTGACACCAGAGTTATCCTCTTCAGAATAATCTAACGTGTTGTTTGTTCACTATTGGTAAGCCATAATTATCAAAATGACAAGAAATAAAGTCCTGAAATGTTTCACTCTGTACAAAGAATCTGCAGTTACACTAAAAGATGGACATTTATATGCTTTAAATAAAGATCTGCGTCTGAGAAAACTGTGCTTGAAATCTTCTTACTTTTCATGTTATGGGGTCACTGGTGCTTATGTCCAGTAGTCACTGTTTATGGGGGGGTGGGGGGGACACCCTGGACAGGTCTCCAGTCCATCACAGGGACACAGAGACAAATAGGACAAAAAATAACATTCACACTCTCATCTAGGGGCAATTTAGTGTTACCAATCAAGAACATGCATGTTTTGGATCTGTGGGAGGAAACAGGAGTACCTGGAGGAAACCTGCACATGCACGGAGAGAACATGCAAACTCCACCCAGCCGGGATTGGATTCAACAATCTTCTCGCTGAGAGGGAGCAGCTCTACCAACTGCTCCACCGTGCCACCATATTAAAATATTACCATTATTAATCATATTAATATTTTTATCTTCCACCGTTTTTGAACTAATGCATATTTTTTTTACAGTTCTTTTTAATTTCTAATTGTTCATAACAATCAAGAGGTGACACAACAACTCGTGTTCCTTGTGCAACTTCTGCGCAGATGCATATTGAGCTCAAATGCTTTTGGGCCTAAATTTCAGCTGTTAGAATATTCTGCCAGGGCATGCAGCTTCAATGTGCACTCGTTTCATTCATTTATTCATTTTATGTACAAAAAATAAATATTTGCTATAGATCATTCTGTTGTTAAACAGCTTTTAGACAAAACTGAAGTGATTTTTGTTGTTCTTTTTATTAGGCCTTCTCCTGACGAGGCTGCTCAGTGGCGTGAGAGTCTGGACCGGGTCCTGAACAGCAGCTGTAGGTCTCGTCTCTCTTTGTCTTCCTGTTCTTGATATCGCAGCATCTCACTGATTCATGTGATGTCAACTCCTATCATATGCTTGTTGTGCTATATATACATTATTTTTTTATTTTCTATTAAACACATTTTTCTCAGAACTATACTTGAATAAAACTAAAACATGCTACTGTTATGCTTTCCTGCACCTTACAGATCCTACAGCAACAACTTGTGAAAGGCCAAAAACACGTTTTACAGATTAAAATCAGCCATTTATGAGCTGTGTTGAACAGATGGGAACACAACAAAGAGCAAAGGTGCAAAGAGCATCATCATCTAATTCAGTTCAGGCCAATATGTAACGCCCTGAGTAGCCGGTGTCCTAACAGGAACACATGGCTCCTCTGATGTCTGGAGGCCCTCTGACAGCTTGTTTAAACAGACACCATGCAGGCTTTGGTTTCCATAAAAGCTTCACAGCTTGTGCACTTGAGTGGACCTCCAAACAACAATGCTGCTCTAATTGGTTGATGGAGATAATGCTGATTAGGTTTGTTCATTATCTCACACATGGAGTAGGACAGTGCACTCAGCCTGAGCTCACAGGAAACCACTGAGCACTTGTTTTTAGATGCCCCAAAAGAAACTGAAAATTATTGCAACTACAGAACAGTTTCCACAGTTTTTATTTTTTTATCTTAGTAGTATATATAAAATTAAATCTTAAAGTCAATGTATTTGTTGTACATAGTGAAATGGTTCAGATTTGAAATGTTACAAATGAAAGTTTATAATTTCTTGAAGATATGCATATAACTTACCACCAGTGGTGGAGAAAGTACTCAAAGACTGCACTTAAGTAAAAGTACAAATAAACAGACAAATGCACTCTAGTAAAAGTAGAAGTACCACATTAACATTTTTACCTAAGCGAAAGTAAATAAGCACCTGTGTTTAAAAATACTTAAAGTACTTGCTTGTATTACCTAATGCAACGGTCTACTACAACATCATTAAGTGTGCCTAGCGTATGTATATTTTCTGTAATGCATTAATAGTGTTGTATCATTTTAATGAACAATGCTGCAGATAATACATGTTTTATTGTGTGACACCGTTCACACTTACACTTGTGATTCTGTGCATCAGAGTTTCAGGGATGACCTGCAGAGTTAAATGTCATTAAGCAAAATAAGAACGTTTTTAACACAAAGCAAATTCAATGTGTCATTTTAACTGCAGTAAACACATTTAAGTAAAAGTTTGCCTATAAAAATGAGCATTACACACAACTAACAAAGGAACAGGCTCTGATCATTTCAACTCCAGTTTGTCATCAACTGTCTAGTCAAACTTGTAACGGGTCAATAGTGAACAATAGTTTAACTTCCTGACACCATTTTCAAATCTTGGACCCGAGTGTCGAGTCATTTGGAGACATCTCTTGTCTCCTAACATCCCATGAACTGACACATTTTAATATTGCAGCAATAATTTCTTGTTCAAGTTTAGAAGAAGTTGGTTTTCAAAGTTTGTTTGAGTCCAGACTGACTTTTAGGAGATAAAATCTGTCCTGCTGTACTGAACAGTCTTTCAATCATCTTTCAATAATCTTTCAATAAGGCCATGAGTGGCGTATCTTGTGTCTGACTCTCTGTGGTGGAATCCATTTTGTGTGTGTTAGCGGTGCTGCGGGTGCACCCAGCTCAATGACGTGTTGTATCTACTAGAATATACATCACTGGTCCAGCTCTTCTTGAAGGTGGGTCTATAACATTACCTGACCACTTTGCATGATTCAATGGACCAACTCCTCTGTTGCCATTGGTAACTTTCAAACTAAAGAACAAATCAAAACACCACAACGTGCATGTAACATGTAATGCAACACATTATAGAAATCTAGTGCAGTAGAAACTAGAGATACTTAATGTAAAATGTAGTGGAGTAAAAGTCAAAAGTACCCACGTTTAACTCTACTTAAGTAAAGTACAGATACATGAAAAATGTACTTAAGTACAGTAACGAAGTGCATGTACTTTGTTTCATCCCACCACTGCCGACCACCATAAATTTTAATCAAAATTTTAGACTAGGATCATCTTGTGTTGAGGAAAAAATAACTCCATGCACAATGTCATGTGATATCTCACGTTAACTAGTCAATAGACTCCAAAGGGCTACGGTTGCGTTAGATGTTGGGTTAGAGAACATAAAAAGCAATTCAACGAGGAGTAAACACACTTAGGATCACCGTCCTGAGCAGAAGCCAACTTCCTGCTCCACTCTTTAACACAAAGTGCCAACAAAGCCCGACAGGCGAGACTGATTACCTCTAACGGCTAATTGTATTTATCCATAGATGTAAACTTTCTAGTCACTTCTGTTGCCTCTGCGTGTAAAAACACATACAGATGTCACCGAGCAGCTCTGTGCAAACAAACATTTCCTCCGTGGAGCACCATGGGTGGCAAAGACCATCCTAAGCTGCTCCGTCTGAGGCAGAAACTGTTTGTCTAGTGTTTGCATGCTTGAATTATTGTGCGCACGTATCTGTGTATAATAACCCGTGAAGGTTAGGTCTGTTGTGGTAACATCTCTAGGGAGACGTCAGGCTGATTTCACTGTGCTGATTTATGGCACAACTGCCGCCACCCGCTGTGCCATCATGATTTATCTGCGTGAGATTTTGCGTTAACTTTATTCGGTCCGTTCCCGTGTTCGCTCTCGTGGGAGTTATCCTGTGTATTGAAGTGCTTCCCCTATTCTGAGCCTAAGATTACGGGTCGCACAACTCTTTCAATCTCCTGCTTTTTTTAAAAAGTAATTAATAAATCTGCTTATGGGACATGAAAAAAAGACTGAAACCAGTGGAGTTCTGCTGACATTGAAGCTGAAAGAGTAAAACCCTACGGTCGTTGGGAGTTTGATACACAAACTCTTTGGCATTAGCTTCTCCCGTTGTTTGTTCTTGTACTGGAGGTTTATCAAAAGAATAAAAAAAGAAGCAAAAGCTTCGGCTTGATTACAACTTAGTGCTATTTTGAACTGAGCCATTAAGATTGAAGATAAAGCCGAGGTTTTAGCAGAATGCTTATCATCTGCAGCACATGCTCGTTCAGACAATGGCAGCTTTACGCAGGCATTGTGCTAAATTACAATGGCCACGATTGAAATGTGTCGATGATAACCGATGGGCTTTTCTTTATTTCTGAAAGTGAGTCGATCTATTATGTACGTAGTAATCGACAGATGTTTTTCTTTTGTATTATTATTGATTTAATGTTCATCTTTGTTTTGTAATTCATGAAATGTTTTAGACCAATTTATTGAAACCATTTATTTTCTAAAATCTTAGTTAAACCAACTTTAGTTGGTGAAATAAACAGTGACATTTGATTGTCATATTTTTTTATATATCAGCTCAGATAAAGAAATATTTCTCTGCATCACCAGTGTAGATGAACATATACTGTGATATATTCATAAATTAAACGGATTAATTCATTTTTCTGGACTGAATAATATCGTGCATTGAATTTAATAAATGTATCGTGAGACGTTAATTTTCTTTGACCCATCAAAATGAACGTGGTCATTTATTAACAGAATCAAAATTTAACATCAAACATTTACATTAATTTGGCAAAATTGAAAATAACAACAGGTTAATTAATCAGTTTACAATTAGAAAACCATACGGCGATGGTTTTCTTTGCTTCACAACAGACATTTCTGAAAATATCTGGAATGATTTCTAGCAGAATAGAAGAGTTTAAAGATGGAAAATGAAGTTTATCTTGAGAGAGATGGGTGAGGGAATTTGTCTGTTATAACCAGAACAACACGCTCCTTCTGGACCCAGTTTAACCAACGGTACACTTTGCGGTTGAAGATCGACTCTTTTTACCTTGGCAGAGGATAATCCCGACTTCGGTGTAGAGTTGCCTTCAAACGCTCTCCAGCGTCTCCGTAAGGATAGTAGGGAACCGTTCGGAGTCGTGAGATCGTCCAGAACAGACTTCATAGTTTCTCTGAACTTCTCTCGTCCAGCTTAGTTGCAGATGTCCTGAGCATTCTGCATTCCAGCATTCTGAACTCTGCTGCTCTCGGAACTAACTCACAGCATTCTCTCAGCGTTCTTCTCAGCGTTCTTCTCAGAACTTCTCAGAACTTCTCAGAACTCCCGTGAACTAGGAAGTGTTGCACCTTTTAAAAGAGGTCACTTCCGGTTCATTTGAGACCTTTCTGATTGGTCGGTTGACCAAACAGAGGTGTGTTTTTGTGATGTAAGAGGTTATTGAAAGTCAAGGAAAAAAGATTAGATTGTTTAAGAACAGACAGAAGATATTATGAAGATTCCAGACTTCGTGGAGTCAATTCTCTAGTATCTTTCTGTAAAAGTTAAACATGACATTTCTTTTCAGTAAACTTGCAGTTGACCGAAACTTGACCTTTGACCAACTTACACAATTTGCTCATTGAAGACAGAAAATCAGACAATGCATCATTAACCTGATTTCTACTTTGAATGAGGATAAAAATCACTAATACTGTTTCACAGTTGATTTAAAATGAGTAGTTCACTTCAACATTTGAAAATGGTTTGAACTAAACACAATTTGATTATCAAAACATTTGTAAAATAGTAATGATAATAGAAAAAGAGAGTGTTCTTTCAATTGATCAGTGCAGGACACTTAGAAAGTCTCTGGATGAACTTAATCTTGTGTTTCTGGACTCAAATCAATGAAATACAGTTCTTGTTCCAGGAAGGCCCTCAAGGCCAGATTTTGACCTGAGGCTTAGTTCACTACACCAATGTATATCATAATACATATTAAAGGGCAGCAGTCAAAAGATGAGATCAACCAGTATTCATGTCAGTTTGATCCCTTAATTGGCTTTTATAATCATAAATAATGATATCCTGATGCATGCTCAAAATAATGATGCATAAATAATGATGTATACTGATATGATATATAATTATAATTTGTCAAATGAGGTATTCACCCCATTAGATTAACTTCACTTTCTTTATTTGTCCTCTTAATTTGCATTTTATGAACACAATGAAGTTGTTCAAGATTAATTTTGGGATTAAATAAATCCAAATCCATAAAAACAAACTACTGCAGTTGAACAAACGGGTCTCGGTTGAAAATGAGTCCTCGTGACTCAATGAGACTTCCTGTATAAATAAAGGTTAAAAACAATAAAACTGATTCCAAACAAAGTAGGAGACAAAAATGACTCTTCTGTCCTGACAACCCATCATTTCTCTCCATCAGATGGTCTGGCTGCTTTCCGCAGCTTCCTGCAGTCGGAGTTCAGTGATGAGAACGTCGAGTTCTGGATGGTCTGTGAGGATTTTAAGAAAACCAAGAATCCTGCGAAGATGGCCGCCAAGGCCAAAAAGATCTATGAGGACTACATCCAGTCAGAGGGGCCCAGAGAGGTCAGGGACTCCCCGTCCTCATCACTTTAACTCCACACTAAAAACCTGTCTGAGTGCACGATCCTCTCATTTATGAAGTCTGTATTTGATTTTAGATGTATGCTCATCAGATGTCTTCACCTCCTCATCACCCGCTCTGACAGCAGATGTTCTTGTTTTCTTCTCACCAGGTCAACATTGACCACGTCACCAAAGATGTGACCCTGAGGAACCTGGTGGATCTCTCCCCATCGACCTTTGACCTGGCCCAGAAGCGGGTTTATGCCTTGATGGAGAAAGACTCCTTCGGACGTTTTCTCCGTTCTGAGCAGTACCAGGAGCTCCTGGTCAACTAAACCCCAACAAGGGTCCACAGGGAGGTGGTGGTGGTGGTGGTCTGGTGGGGGGGGTTTCAAATAGCAGCCATGCACTGCTCGTCAGGATCAGCTGGCTATTTTAAAACTCTTTTTTTTTTTTAAATGGGAACATGCCAACGTTCGTTATTTGATAAAAGATCATTTTTAAATTTGCATTTAAGATTTTGCAGACCACTATGATAAACAAATAACTGCAAATATTGTAAAGGCCCCGCCTCCCCACAACACACCCCCTCCCCAGATTTACACCTGAATTAAAACTATTGACAACGTTCATTCACATTTCTTTTCCTGAGCATGATCTCAGTTCTAAATTTCATTTATTTTTTTGACAAACACATAAAATGCAAAAGGAAACGTATTCATCCTTTAAAACTTTGCCAAAATTTTAATTCCTTAAATCTGACGTGTTCATAAACAAAAAAACAACAACTCGACATGCACTCAAAGGCGTTGGAGTGTAAAACGATTCATTATCCGTGCGCAGAAACCAAATAATGACACTCAGAGGATTCGTTTCCGACGCAAAGAAACAATACCAGCAAAAAAACGAGCTTTCAGATTTTGATTTCTTAGCGAGACAGGAATATTATAAGGTTCTCGTCTTTCAGCATCTTCTACTACGTTCTCACCATGAACACATTTATGATGAACAGTTTAAGTTTCTCTCATTCTCAGCGAGACAATAATAAAAACTGTATTGCGAGAGTGACTCGGCATGTTGTACACTATTTCTACAGAAGTAAATCTGTCTGATGTACATCATTATATTCATATAAACACATGTTTGTATCAGTTCATATCACCCTGGAGTTGAACTCGTATCATTTTTGTTCATTATATTAAGGTTTAATACGCATTTATACTAGGAATGCACATTATGGGATTTTTGGCCGATATCCACTATGCCAATATGTTAAAACTTATTTGGCTGATATTTGATAACCAATACCAATACCGTTTTTTTTTTTTTCCCATAGACCTACTTACAGAGACCACATCGCTTTCTCAGCTGTGGAATTAAAATACATTATTCTGCACGGTCTTTGTTGATTTGGCCTGCTACCAAATGCAGATGCCAAAAAGGGGCTGAAAATGATGTAAGACTTCAACTTATTATGTTTAATGTTAAATTTATTCATAACATTTACTCTCTCTAACACAATGACAACACTTGAACAGTCATAAGAAAACAGCGCCTTATATATAAACAGCACCTTTAATATCGGTGAGTTATTTTGATGGAATGGCCGATATTTAACTTTATTGTAAACATCTGTCAATACCGATACCATGCCGATAATGTTGTGCATCCCTAATTTATACTAAATAATGCCAATAACACCAGAGGCAAAAACTGCTTAGCTTGCATTTTTTATAAACGGATGTGATTTTACTTTAAGCTTCAACATTATAAACAGATTTCAACAGCATGTTATTGTCAGATGCTAAATTAGTTGAAAATATGTCAAACTTATCACATTACTGAAGTCACTGAAATCATTTTTTTTTTTTTATTGAGTAAAATGTTAAATGTTTAAAACAAAAATGGCCAGTTTTAATCTTCTGATCAATAAAATATTTGCTCATGCCGTCAACACACAAACCGATTTTTGCGTGGAAAAAAAAATGATGTTTAAAAAATTGGGCTTTCCACAATGAAGATTTTTAAAAGTTCAGTTTTTGATGTAACTCTCAAAAAAAGAGTTTTTGCAAAATGCACAGCGACCTACGCTTTTCTGGGCCCACTCTAATCTTTTTGGGCCTCGAAATCAAAACAGTAAAAACAGTTTTACAAGTTATTGTTGTATGTCTATCTTTATCCTGATCCCATTGCAATTAGACGTCGACTGTGTATTAAAATGATCAACAACAGGGGGAATGTTGTAAACAGTATAAAACAATGTTACAACTTATATATATTTGGGAAGATTTTTAGCTGAGCTAAAAGTATTTCTCCGTATTTTGTTGTTGCTGTTGTGGACATTATGAGCACCTGATGGCACTATATGGCTATTAAATACATAGTATGGACAGAGTTTTATTATAAATATGGAAATAAATATATTGGAGGAAATATCTGGAGTTGGGTAGTTTAGGTGTTGATGGCTCCTGTTTTGTAGTGCATGAAAGAAACAGCTCATCACTCAACAAGAGAAGCAGGGATTTCTTAAAGTGAGGCAGAAAAACAAGTGGATATTTCCTAAATTTCCAAATATTTTGTCTTTTTGATCATAAATCATATTACAGGACTTGTATCAATGCAGACTACATATATTTCTCTGCTTGTTTGTAATAATATTTCAGATTCACATTGACGGAAGTTTTGGACTGTTGCCAAACTCCATCTTTTTGGTTGTAATTCATCCTTTGGGAGCCATTCTTCAGAGCAGTGCTGACTGGTTGGCCCAGTGGTGTAGCCGCGTGTCTACCACTAAAATGCAAGTTGCTAAGATGGGAAAATCAAGTAGGAGAGAATCTCAGAAAAACTGGAGTAAACAGGGCAGTGGCTTTAGAAAACGAACGCTGTTTCCCCTGCGTGATGGTAGTGAAGATTCACTGTACTTATCATTGTCAAGTAAAACATGGGAGACAAAACTTTAAGGTTTGCAGCACTTCATCATGTCTTATTGTGCAGAAACTCTTTTTTTTTTTCTAAATTAGACTCGTTGCATTCAGTAACTTTTAACATGAGTAATATATGTAGAATGAAATCAGTTTACATATTATTTTCATGTCTTTTTGTTTTGTTTTTCTCAAACTGTTCAACCATATTTCACTTGTCACCACTTTACAATTGCTTATAGAGATTTTTGGTGTTAGAGTGTAATGTTTTAAGTGTTCTGATATACACAGTTAGCTGAATGTAGCAACCATTGAGTGGAATTATATTTACTGTTTTTATTATACTGAGCAAACACATTATATTTTAACTAATACAAAAACGTATCCATGCATTCAGCATTGAAAGCCCTCATTGGTCTCACACTGACAAAAACATTTACAGCAGGCGTGCGATTTCTTCAGCTGTCCGAGGCATCAATTTAATTTCACATCTTGTTTACAAAAATACTTTGAACCCAACAACAAAACTTTACTTTTCAATTCACAACAGTTTACAGTGGCACGGATTGGCCAGTCTGATGACATTTTGTGAACTGTTACAAATAAAATATCTGGATCAATAAGGGCTTTACCAGTACTGAGTATACAATGGTGCATGTAGCTGTGCATGTATGTTTTGTAGTGGATCACATAAAATATATATATATGCATTCAGTTCTGAAGATGTATTTATTTATATGTGCAAATATCTATTAAGTTATTCTAAACTCCAACTGAATGAGTGATTCTTTGAGTGGAAAGTTGGCAGAGACTTTCCCCAGAGCCTGTTCATTGTTATAAAAGTCCCAAAACAAATCTGACTTTCATTTGTCACTTTGTTTGTCTTCATTAGCGAACATAAACAAAATTGTCCGTGTGTGTGGGGATTTATTTGTTATGGTTGGAATATAGAGCTAGTGCACGCAAACTAAACGCGTCAATGTTATTTTTAAAATTAAAGAAAATCGTTTAGAGCGCACAGGATCAGAATTTTAATTTTGATTTTATTTTTTGCTATTATTAATTTAATATAAACATTCAAGGGTTTAAATTCCCGTTTAGCAAACAATGTTTAAGTTTGCTGTTAAATGACTTTTACTGCTTGTTACTTTTTCGAATGGTATTTGTTTTGAACATTGTTTAAAGTTGATCACCCATCCCATGACCACGTGAAAGATTTGTTGAACCCAGGCTCTGAAGTGAGCAGGAGTGGTGCCAAGCCGAGGATGAGCACTACAGATGGAATGTTTGCTTTAAGAGTGTGGACCGAGAGGTATAGAGAAGGTCAGAACGAGTTGCACTTGGTCTTTGTGGATCTAGAGAAAATCTACAGACTATAGAGGAACTGCGGTAATGTATCTGAAGATCAGGTGTGGTGATGAAGTGAGAGAAGTGCATGAGAGTTTAAGTGACGGATGGGTTATAAGGTGGAGGATTGGTTTAGAGATGAACTTCTTGTAGTGGATGAATTGACAGATGAGATGAACCCATGATCTGTAATGAGAACACGGAGCAGGTGGAAGAGAATCTGGAGTGGTGGAGATATTCTCTGAAGCAAAGACTAATGAAAATGAGTAGAAATAAGACAGAATATATTCATGTGAGAGGAAAAAGGTGGAACAGTGAAGGTGCAAAGAGAAGAGCTACTTAAGGTGGATGAGTTTAAATACCTTGGGTCCACAATTTAAATGAAACACATAGAACACAAGAGAGGGGAATAAGAGTGTATAGGCAGAGTGGGGTGAATGGAGATGAGTGTCAGGAGTGATTGGTGACAGAAGGACGGCATAAGTGACACGTAATGTTCCCAAGACAGTAGTGAGAGTTTGTTTCATAGAGAAAATCACCAAGAAAAAATAAACAGACAAACAAAAACCAACGAGGAGCTGGGGGTGGAAGAGATGAAGGTTTTCATTGAAAATGTCCTAAATGAATAGGCTTCTAATGAGAACAGCCAAAAGAAGAAAATATAATAATAATTCTGATTCAAAAACTATCTATTATATCAAAACATGATGTAAAATACTCAGACTGAATCATTTGGACAAGAGCCTGTTAAAAAAAAGAACATTGTTCATCAAAGTGTCCACAAGGCAGACATCAATTTCAGTCCTGCTAATAGACACATAAATGAGTGTTATTTTGTACTTTTAACAGTTTTCTATAAATAAAATAAAATAAAAAGAACAAAGCTTACGAAGTGGTACATTGTTCTAATTGGTCAGCTTTTAATGGACTCTGCACAAATCTTTTTTTTTTTTTTTAATAATTGTTTCAGGATATGATGTACTCTGCAAAACTAAGTTAAAGACACAGCACACAAAGTGAACACAAAACGTTTAATTTGATTTTGTGAGCTTTTAAATTGAATTGTTAA